CACCCCTGTGGACGTGAGGGCATCTGGGGCTGTCTGCCCACCCCGGATGCAGAGCAGGCAGTCCTCGCCTTGCCCTGGCCTCACCTGGCCATCACCTTCCCACCCCTACCATTACTGCCCAGAGCAGAGCTCCAGCCCCTCTGCCTGCTCTCTCTTGTGCCCACTGACTCACTCACCTGTGCCCTGATTCCCTCTTCTCACACCTCCCTGCCCTTCAGGCTTGTCCCCTTGGCGTTGGCGCAGCTGTGCCAGACCTCCCGTACCCATGAGCCTCCCCTGGTGCTGGGGCTATCTGGTCACTGACTGGATCACCTACTCCTCAGGGGGCTGCTTCCTGTTCTCCCAGCTGTGCTGAACCAGCTGTGGCCTGGGCTAACCAAAAGACTTGTCTTTCAACTACTGGACTTCAGTTGTACCTCTTCCAAGCAGGTATGAACCCTACTTTGAGAAGGGGGATCCCCTTGCGCGGCTATTCTCCCCTGGGTATGCTCCTTCAGTGGTACCCTATAAAGTTCTCTTACCATCATTTAATAATTCTTTACGTAAAATTTCCCTTACTGATTGTGTGGTATCTCTCCCGATTGCACCCCGATGGCTGTGGTGTAGAGACACTGACAAGGTAAAGGAAAGAGCTCAGTGTCTAAATGGTGGCGATCTTGTTCTGTCTTTGACATGCAAGTGCCGCCTGTCTGCTTTGATGTCTGGCGCATGGAAAGTCCTAAGTAAGGACTGAGCGAGGACAGTTTAAGTTCATTTAACTCCCCTTTTTGTTAGAAAGCACTGCAGCCCACAGAAAGGGCCAGCATGCCGGAGGGAGCCAGAAATGTGTCTATATCTGTGGCTGTTCACTCATTTGTCAATAAATGGCTGAAATGCCAGCTGGGAGCAATAGCATCAGCCCGATAGCAGGTCATACAGCAGCACTTGATCCCCAGTTGTGGGGGTACAGGGAGTAAGTAAATGGTTGCTATTAGAGCACAAGCTAAAAGATTGTTCTGGCAAAAAGTGTGCAAACATCATGGGTAAAGCTGGAACTAGGGAAATACCATGTGATCTAACCACTGTGCGCTTCAGAGAAGGGAACTGACTGGACGAGCATCTGGCCCCTCTGGGAGGAGGCAGGATGGGAAGCAGCGGTCACCTGCGCTCATCCAAGTCCCGGCCCTTGTGCATCACCGCTTCTCCCCAGGGGCAGGAAGTGCGGCTGATGCACACTGCATCTCAGGAAGTGGGGGGGCGATACCCCAAAACGTGGATACCATGTCCATTTTGGGGATCCTAGAAATTTCCCAGCTGATTGTCTTACCCTTTGGGAAGCAACTAGTAGTCTGTTAAATAGGTTGAATTTGGGGTTTGACTCCCTTCAACATAACTGATCACCTGTCAGCCCACCGCATCCAGCCATTTGGAGCAAAGCAAAGCATTCCCTGCCCAAGCCTCCTCCGAGCATCACTAGTGTCTCTGAGGTGGTCTCACACCCCCTACAGAAACCCTTTCCATCACTCCAACATCTGCAGCTTAATTATGCTAATGGCATTGCTTTATCATGTTGGTTTACTTAGCAGAACATTTTGCTATTTTTGATCAGATGTTTTTCCAGTGGTCCAAGTCATGGAATCCTTTATTAAGGGAGGGGGCAGCCCACAGAGCCTGTTCCATGTACTCTGACGTATCCCTCAAAGCATGACTTCTTGTTTGAATTTGACCATAAGCGTACGGGCACAAGTGAGGCACTGTGTGTCATTAATTTTACAACAGATGGGTAACATATGAGCCAGGGAGGCGTGTGGATGTAGCAAGAGCTACGTGAGCATAGTCAAGCCACGTTTGGAATGTGTTTGCTGTCTGTCATTGAGAGGCGCCCACGCCGATTAATTGACTTGGGATGTGCACACACCTCTGTGTTGGGGAGCAAGGGACACGTGGGTCCAGAGGAAGTGGGCCAGTCTGTGAGCATCCTGGGGGAAGCCCCACACTCTTCAAGAACTTCCAGGGAAATGCGAGGTGCGCTTTGCCTGCCAGCTCTGGCTGGAGATGCCGCTCGGTACAGGTTGCAGGTGCAGGGAAAGTGTCATGGGGGAATCTGTGCCAGTGAAAATGAGGCTGTTTACCTGGCCCAGTGAGATGCATGAGGAAGGACACAGCTAGAGTTTAAAAAGCATAGTCTGTGCTACAGAGCCTGGGCTCTGTAACCAAGGCATTTTGCTGATCCGATGGTTGTCCTCCAAGCCACTTGTTTTCTGTGTCCTCTCCTGACTGGCTCCATTCTGCGTGTGTACTGTTCCAGAGATCTCAGATTTTCTCCTCATCCATTCAAGAGACACTCGTCTTCATATTGTCACCCAGTCCTAGCACTGAGTATAGGATTCTGTAAACAGAGACATTCGCAGTAGCAGACTTCTAACCCTGGGGTGTCACTGACATGGGGAAGAAGGCAGCCTCAGGCAGGCTCCAGGAGCCAGCTACAGCTCAGCCTTGGAATGGGGCAGCCCCCTTGCAGTGCGTGTCCTCATGCGCTCTGCTGTCTGTCTGAAAACTACACGATCAGGATTTATTTTTTATTTGTAGTTAGTGGTTTTTTTAAATTCAATTTACATAGAATAAAATATACCTATTTTAATTGTACAGTGAGTTTTGACCATGAACCTGCCATTATTGTCAAAGATGCTGTGCTTTTTCACCCTCCCAAAAGACCCCTGTATGCTCCCAGCACTCAGTGTCCTTTTTCCCTGGCTTCAGGCGATCATGACTTTGTTTTCTGTTGTTAGTAATTCATCTTGCCTATCTTAAAATTTCACATAAACGAAAAGCACGGCATGTACTGTTTTGTGCCTGCCGCCTTTTGTTCGGCATATTTTTAATAATTTATCCACACCGTTGTATGTATTGACAGTTTATTCCTTCCTATTGCTGAGTAGCTTCCCATTGTTTGGATATGCTCCGAAAATGGTTAACTGGTCATCCATTGATCAGATTTTGAATTATTTCTAGGTTTGAGCTTTCGGTACTAATGCTGCTATGAACATGTGTGTCTGACTTTTGGGAGGATACGTTTTCATTTCTCTTGTGGAAATACCTGCGAACTAATGAGTTCTAAGGGATCAGAATCTACTTTCAAATAGTATTATGCTACTTTATGTGTGGTGTAAAGACCTTTTAACAGTATCTTACCAGTGCTTCCCACTCACCCTTTGTGCTATTATTCTAAAGTTTACTTCTAGATCAGCTGTAAATAATGCATTGTTACTGTTTTACTTTATACTTTTTTTAATAAGGCTTAGATGTGAAAGATAATTGCTTAATCTAATCAGGGACCAAGCTTAGAAAATGTTTAGTTGCAATTTTAAGTTTCAGTCCACCTCTGTCTCACCCCTGTTCCTAAAATATCATCCTTCCTCTCCATTGAGAGCCTTGTCTGGTTGCTCTTTTTGCTCAGTTTTAAAAGCAATGCTTTGTTTTCTCATCACTGTGATGAGAATCCCAAACTCCATTCCACTTGCTCAAAGGCTTCCTCTTAGATTTTTCGGGTTATAAAGGCTAACTCTTAGGTTTTTTGGGTTCTCAAGGCTTCCTCTTAGATTTTTTGGGTTCTCAAGGCTTCCTCTTAGATTTTTCAGTCTGTGAAGTCTTCCTCTTAGATTTTTCGGGTTGTAAGGGCTTCCTCTTAGATTTTTAGTGTTATAATTTGGCAAATGTCTTTAGGTAAAAATGAGAGGATCTCTGGCCCTGTAAGCCTGCCCAGAAATTCTGCTAAACTCTCTGCCTGTTCTCTGGCCTGGTTCTCTCAGTGGTTTGGCCCATTAGCCAAAATCAACAAATGTCTCTAGTGAAAAACAATAGCTATAGAGGGTCAGTTTACTTCTCTTCAGTCTCTCTGTAGAATCTTTAAAAAAAAAAATTTGGGGGGCCTCCCCGGTGGCGCGGCGGTTGAGCGCCAAGTTGCGAGGCTGCCCGCTGCCTCTGTGGCACCGGTTAGGTCCCCGGCTGCTCCCCGGCCACTGGAGGAGGGTCCTGCGTGGCACGCACACCTCTCCTGCTGTGCCCGCTGCTCCCCTCAGCAGTGTACTTCGGTCCTTCTGCCTGCTCTGCTCCCCGCTCTGGCTCTGGTGAATTCTCTCACCCTCCCGCGCTTCTGACTGTACCCAGTGCTTGTATAAATAAATACATAAATCTTTAAAAAAAAAACTTTTTTTGTTATTGAATGGACCTGGCTTGCTAGGACTATATAAGCATGTAACCCTGTAACAGGGTGGTCCCCAGGAAAGGGGGAAGTTCCAGGTTCCCTGCCCCACCCAAGGGAGGGTGGAGCTGAGCAGGAAGAGGAGAAGCTGCAGAAGAGACTGAGGAAGGAAGCAGGATGGAGCCAGGAGACCTGGAGGAGGTGCATGGAGCCTAGAGACACGTGAAGAAACTGTGCTTGTTTTTTGGTCGTGGACTGGGTGACACAGATGTGGGTGAGACCCGTGGGAGGTGACAATGGCAGCTTTTATCTTGATGTTGATTTTGTTCTTTTCCTTTTGGGCTTATCCAGTTGTTTGTGACCCTTTTTTGTGGGTCCCCACTGGAAGATGCTTTAGACTTGTAGCAGGCTTTGGGGCCTTGTTCTGGGCCAATCCCATATGGATGGACTTTTACCCACGAGGGGATGGGTAATTTTGGGTGCTTCATTTAGAAACTAGACTCTTTGACTTACCTGTATTGTTTCCTAGTTTTATTAAAGTTCCTTCCCATTAAAGTCTCCTATGTTTTGTGTTGATGCGGCGGATGGCAGAACCCATTTAGAATAGGCAGGTTTGCGGGGTTTGGGCTGCCCCTCTCCCTGTCCGATAACAACCCCACCAATTCTAGGTTCCATTCACCACCTTTCTTTTTCCACCCCATAACTCCCTCCCCCTCTGATCACCCTCAGACTTCTCTGAAGATACGTGTTTGTGTTTGATTTAGTTTGTTTATTTGCTTTGTTTCTTTATACTCCACATGTGAACACAATCATAGGATGTTTTTGTTTTACTGTCTCACTTGTCTCACTAAGCATAACCCCGTCTCGGTTCATCAATATTGCTGCAAATACCAGCACGTCATCTCTTCTCATAGTTGTATCTGTGCCTCTTCATCTGCTCATCCCTCAGTGGGCACTTAGTTTATTTCCTTATCTCGGCAGTGGTGAATAGTACTGCGATGAATATAGGGGTGCTATCTCTTTACACATTCATGTGTTCATATCTCTTGGATAAATAGCCCAGAAGTGGAATTGTTGCATCATATGATACTACTCTAATAATTTTTAGGAATCTTTCTCCCTCATCCCTGTTTTCCTTGTCTTTGTGATAATAAACTTCTAACCAGTGTGTCTCTCCAGAGTCTTCACCCCTGTGGTCTCCTCAGATGTCTTCATGCAAGACTTAGGAAAACAAATTACGTGGCTTTTTGTGTCAGGGGCTATCTGTCATCAGTGATGTCAGTGGGAGCCTTAGTCTGTCACAAGTGAGAAGACAGCCTGTGAGGAAAAGTAATATTAAACCAGTAAAACAAGAGAGAAACCTGAATAGACCACCTAGGACAATATTTCGTGAACAGAAGACTCCGATCTACCCTAAACTTGACATTCACTCAGCAGCCAGAGCTGGAGAGGAAAAGCAGAGAGAAAAGAATTTCACACACATCTCACCTCTCTCCACCTTGCCACATGCTTTCTCTTCACCAAAAACATGCTAGTTCTCAAACAAAGCACAAGAACCCGTATGAACAGTCCAACTTCACATTTCTGCTCTCAAGGTAAATGGTGAATCTACCAGGGAAGGTGTGTCCTTGAGGAGGCATGAGCCCAGAGGGGCCTTTTTCATCTCTTGGCACCCCTTCAGCAGGGAAGGCAGAGAAGCACTTTCCTTCTCAGGGAGGAGGCTCCCCACGGTGCCAACCCTGTTCATGCACCATGTGTGTGTGCACCGTCTGCTCTGTGTCCAGCGGCAGGTACGCTCGTAGTAGCACACACTGTGAAATGGAGTGCAAATCTCTGCCCACGGCCTCAGCAGCCATCACAGCAGCTTCGGCGTGTCCAGGGCCTAACTGTTGCTGAGGGAAGGTATTAGTAGCGTGCTCGGTGAAACGTCCTGTGTCTCCTTCCTGCTGTATCTTCTACTGACTTTCTGCCTACCCGGTTATGCCTGCCAGGATGAAAGCTGTCAGCAAGAGAAATGAGAAAGTTTTGAACTACTCATAGCTTGAAACTGACCCCACAGGCCACTTGTCGTGTGAGAAACACATTAACATCATTCTCAGAGCTTTGCCACTGTGTTGAAAATGGAGAAGAAACTCTTTTATGGGGATTATGATAGCAACCAGATTCAGTCAAGCCTGGGTCCTTTTTTGATAAGGTAACTGGGGAGATTACTGTCTAATGGTTGCCAGACAGTAATAATTAATCTTTGAATCTGTATGTGAATAAAATGTTAGCATTGCTGACTTGCAGAGAATATACAAATCTAAATTGTATCATAAGAAACAGTCCCAAACGGGCAGCTTTAAAAATACCAAATTCTACTAGCAATTACTTCCGGAGACTTAAAAATTAAGTTTCTTTCCCTAGAGTGGCAGAACTGTCAGAATGGTTGCTTCTGTTATCTGCCCATCCAAAATTATTCAGTTGATTTAATCCCCTCAAAATTAGCGGATTTTCACCATGGGATTTAACCAGGGGATTTTTCCAGCTCTGCTGATAGCAACATTTAAAGTGATTATGTATAATCTTTTTCCTTTCCTCTATTTCATCTTAGAAAATACTGTTTTCCCAAATTCTCTGTCTTCAGCAGAAAGGAGATTAGGACTGGGTATGCTATCAGCGCTCAGCTCTGCGCCATTTACTGGACAAAATCGCTGTAAGAGTTGTTGCCGAGGTCTCTCTGGCAGTGGATTCTCTTTCCAGAACCCTGATATGTCCCTGCTACAACTGTGCACCAGCCATGGAGTGTATACTGTTGGGTTGTTGATCTAAGAAAAGGTGTAGATAACCCAGGAAACATTTGGAGATACAGTCAGAAGTCTTTGAAATAAATACATCCCCTCTGAGCATCTCTGTTCAGAGTGACTGGAGGCCAGGGCAGAGGATGACCAGTGTTTTTTTTTTAAAAAACTCCAATTTTTTTTCAGTGTCACGGGGGTGGTGGGAATTGACTGAACTCTGTTACAGAGATTGGAGTCTAAGCCCTAATTGCAAAGGCGTAGAATGCACAGTAGGTTTTATATAACTTTAAAAAACTGGACCATTTATGATACTCAAGTACTAACCCCTTCACCATATGTTCCCTGCTTTGTATAGAACAAGGACCAGAGTGTGGATGTAGGACACGAAACAACTCAGATATGGTTCTGAATGGCTCGTTTTCTAGGACTAGGGTCTAAATCTTTGAGATAAAATTATTTGGGGGAGCAATTATCCAAAACAACCTGTGGTTCCTCGAGTCTTTGGGAAGTGTGAAGTTTTGAGCAGAAACATGGGACGATTCTCCAGTCGTCTTTTTCCTCCCTAGTCTGTTTCTTCTGGGCTTGAATGCTGAGCTGCTGCGAACGTGTCCATAGGGCCCCCTGAGTCTGTAGTTAATTACCAATCTGTGTGTGCGGATTTGTTCAAGGAATTAAGGGAAACACGTACATAATGAGGAGACAAATGGAAAAACCCCACAAAGTTGGAAGTGAACAATGTCCAAGATAAAATATTACAGAGAAACTGTAGGATAAACAATTCCCAGAGCCCACACAGGACTGGGGATTGTTTGAATAGTGTCCATGGAAAGGCTGAATGGAAGGATATTCAGTGGAGACCTCAGGAGGGCCAGGTCTTACCATTGTGGCAAAATAGACCCTTTTCAAAAGAGCTTTTAAAAAGTACTTTAAAAGGGCCAGATTAATTTGAAGCTAAGTTAGCTCTCTGCCAGAAAATTAATAAAACAATACCGCAAAACTGATCATTCCACAATGTTCAGTTCACATTTGGCCATACAAATGCTGTACATACAAAGTGTCAGGAAAACCATCAATACACATAAATATGATAGAGATGATGAAATTAAAAGGATATTAAATACAAATATTTCATAATTGTTCAAGTAATTTTTAAAAAACATGGCTTTAGTGAAAAGGAAAATGGGAGAAATAAAAGAGAATTAAATGGTGGAGTATCAGGCAAAGAAAAATCTCCAAAATGAAAATATCCTGAGTGGGTTTAAAAACAGATTAGACACTGAGAAAGGAAAGACCAGTGAACATGAAGTTATACAAATACAAATATGGAAATATTTATCCAAAATGAAAGAGAAAACAGATTTCCTAAAATGAACAGAGCCGTGAGCTTGGGTCAATATTAAGCAAACATACATGTGATTGGAGTCCAGATGGAGAGGAGTTGGGGGGAGCAGAAAAAAATACTTGAAAACAGAGCCAAAATTGTTTCATATGTAAGACAGATACAAAAAGCTCAGTGAGCCTCAAACAGAAACAGACATAAGAAATCACACCAAAGACATTATAGTCAAATTCTGAGAACAGGTGATAAAGAGAAAAATCTTTAAAAATATCCAGCCTTCTGGATTGACATGTGAGGAGCTTGAAAGTTGTCACTTAACCCTAACGACAAGGAAAAGACTGGAAAAGAAACAAAACAATGCAAACTGAATACTTAACTCTCCTTAGATCCACCAGAGAAGTAAGATCACAGGGCAAACTGCTACCCATCTCCCCTAACTCGGAGAGACAGGTACAGAGAATGACAACTTACTGGGACAGAAAACCAAGAACAGAAAATGATGTAGAACCTAGGCCCAGGTAGAAAACATACTATAATTAAAAAATTGCTGGAGGCTCGAGGTGGACAATCTCAGTGTTAGAAGCTCAAAGGGGCCTCTACATTTTGCCTTCAGGAGTCTCTGAGATATTTGTAATTGTTGGAGAAAAACCCCATCATGTTTCTGATAGGTGAAGGGGAAAGTAACTATTTGAAATATGCCAAAGTATTCTGTTTTTTACAAAACCTACCCTCAAGAAAAACTTTTAACAGAGACTTTTGGGGTTTTATTAGAACCTACCCAGTCTGGGGGAAGGAAAGTACCCAACTCCAGCTGCCACTACCCATCCTATCCCTCCTGACAGGACCGAAACACTGAGAAGAGCTTGTGGAATTCAGATCTCAGGCCACAGTTTCACTAAAAGATTAAGACCTGGTTTAGACCACTAGAATATCTTCTCTTTCCTCATGTCTTAACCACCACATAGCCAAAGGGCTATTTACCAGTGTCTTTTACCCAGTACAGCGTGTCTGGATTTCAACAGAAAATTTCATGACATATAAAAGGCAAAAATTACACTTTGAAGAGACCAAGCAGGCATTAGAACCACCCAAAGACATGGCAGGGATATTGAAATGATCAGGCTGGAAATTTAAAACAATGTAGAAGTCAAAGACACTGTGACAGAAGTGAATGCCTTTCAAAAAAAAGGGGGGGGGACTCCTTGGTGGCGCAGCGGTTGAGTGCTGGGTTGCTAAGCTGCCCACAGCCTCTGCAGCGCCGGTTCGATCCCTGGCCACCGGGCGAGGGTCCCACATGGCACGCAGACCTCTTCTGCCGCCCACTGCCCCCTTCAGCAGTGTACTTCGTCAGTCTGCCTGTTCTGTTCCCCGCTCTGGCTCTGGTGAATTCTCTCACCCTCCCGAGCTTCTGACTGTAACCAGTCCTTGTATAAATAAATAAATAAATCTTAAAAAAAAAAAAAAGAGAAGAAGTGAATGCCTTTCATGGACTCATTCATAGACTGGACACAACTGAGGAAAGAATCGCTGAGATTGAGGACATGTGAATAGAGACTTCTGAACATGAAAAGCAAAGATAATAAATAAAGACTGGGGGAAAAAATTGAGCAACATATCCAAGAACTGTGGGAGTATTACAAAAGGCAAAGCATACACCTAACAGCAATACCAGAAGGCGAATATAGGAGCAGAAACAATGTTCGAATCAATAATGATTGAGAATTTTCCCCAAATTAATGTCAGACTCCAAGCCTATTTCAAGCCGATCCAAGAAGCTCAGAGACTACCAGGCAGCCATAAATGGAAAAACAAAAGCAAAAACTCCTGAAGCCACGGCATGTGATACTCCAACTGCAGAATTTAAAAGATAAAGAAAAAAAATCTTGAAAGAGCAGAGGGAACAAATTGTTTATAGAGGAGCAAAGATACGAATTACTTCCAACTTCCCAGAAACCACGTAATCAAGAAGAAAGTGCAGTGACATATCTGAAGAACTGAGGGAAAAAACATCAATCCAATATTCTGTTTCCTGCGAAAATAACTTCAAGAGAAGAAGAAAAGACTTTCTCAGGCAAACAGAAATTGAGGGGATTTCTTGTCTGCAGATTTGATTTACAAGAAACAGTAAAATAAGTTCTTCAGAGAGAAGGAAGATGACACGAGTGAGAAACTCACATTTACTTAAAGAAAAAGCACAT